CTACACAGTTCATTATAAATAGTACTTACCTATAGGATAGGTCTTTCACTTGTCTTTCCCTCTGTGTACATGGTCATGGGGAGAGCTTAGAAGAAAGAAAATAGTCACATTTCTTCCAACCACTAAATGAATGGGAAGGGACCTAAGGGCTAAGATCATGTTATAGAGTGGACTTCAATTAGTTTGTGGGACCAGTGGGGACTATTGGCAGGAAATTCACCCTCAAGCTTAGGATATCTGATTTATCTTTAATGCCACTCTTAGATGACCAAAGTGTGTGTGTGTGTGTGTGTGTGTGTGTGTGTGTGTGTGTAGAGGGAGGGAAACAAAATGAAAACAGGAGAAGTTGCCTGTAAAATATAGAATCATTCAACTGTCCATTATTTTCACCCCTGGCTTCCTAGGCTTCAAAGCTTTCTTCCTTCATCGCCCCACAGAGAAAATAGGGAAAAGTTAAAAGAAAGTAAAAATGACCCAGGTCTTAGGGAAAGTAGTGAATGAGGTAACGGGAAGAGAAGACTGGGGACGGTGGGTCATGATTGTCTTGGGTCAAAACAACTTCCACACAGGACAGGGTGCTGAGCTGACGTTCGGACGAACTTTGTGTAAATGTGAGACAGCAGGATGAGGGACGTGAGGGATGCAGGTCTGAGTGAGTCACCACCCCTCCTTCTAGCTGGCTCTGACTGGTCTACACTCCACAGCGGGAAGCTCAGGAGTGGATGACACTTCTTAGGGAGGGATGTCTTCATGCGTAGATGAGGCTCATCAAAAACAGGGAGTTGACCCCTAGGAGAGGACAGGGAGAAGAAACATCCCCAGAGGTCACTTGGAAAAAACACCATCCTCACTTCCCAAGGACAACTGTAGGGAGGGGATCCGATGATTAGGATAAAGACAAGTATACAAGTTAATGTGCATACACATACATACACACACATAGGGAGGGAGGGAAGAAGGGAGAGAGAGAGGTGAAGATGAAGTAAAAATAGAGCAGAACCATCATTTATACGCCTGGAATTAGTACATTTTATGTTCTGTGGCCAATTTAAGAAGATAAATGAGCCAGGCATGATGATGCATGGTGGCAATCCTAGTACTCCGGAGACTGAAAGAAGAGGATTGAGGCTTCAAGACTAGCCTGGGCTAAGCAGTGAGTTCAAGGCAAACCTGAAATAGATGCTGAGTCAAAATACCACCATCAACCACAGAAAAGGCAGGTGTGGTGCCTCACACTTATAATCCTTTTAGCTTTTGGGGAGCAGATGTAGAAGGACCAGGTCATCCTTGGCTACAAAGTGAGTTCAGGGAAAGCATGGGTTACATCAAACCCTGTGCCAATATAACAATAGAACAGAATATAAACGATTATCAAATGTGTGACACTGACATGTTAGGTGTGCCTTCTTGTTTGGCACACATCTCCAGGTCTATTCTATCTTTCTAGAAAACCTTAGTGCTATAGTTTTAAATAGTTCTAAATGTTAAAAATCATATCATAATCTCTCATGTATATTCCAGACCCAAATTAACTACTGTGTGTCATTATTTGCATATTTAATTTGCCTCTCCAATTTAGCATGCCTCAAAACAAGGTCTTGATGGAGCCCAGCTTGTTTAACCCCTTGTCCTCTCTGTACCAATAGACAGCACCACTAACCCACCTATTGCTCAAACCAAGCCTTGGAATATTCCTTGCTTACTTCTTACTGATTGCCAGTCCCTGCTAAGACATCTAAAGTTACCCCACCTCCATCTCTGCTCACTCTACTTACCCTAGTCCAAATCTCCATCATCTTTCCCTCGGATAGCAATTTCCCAGTCTTTGCCTTTCCTCTTTTGACCCTTTGCAATTCTTTCCTATTTCACTCTTTATGTAAATTACAGCAGCTCTCTCCTCCACTTGAGAATTATTATTAGCTTCACACATCCCTTATGACAAAACCTAAACACCTCACCTTGCAAGGTCATACCTACCCCTTGCTTCTTCTTCAACTTCATCTTCTATTTCCCTCACACATGGTCTTCGTTATGAGCCTTATGACCTGTCTAGTTATCTTCATTCATCTTCCCAGAATGTCTCCCGTCCCCCCAACCCCGCTGATTAGCTTGGCTGGTCCATTCTCCTCTTTGAACCCTTAACTGAAATATTACTTCTACCAAGTGAACTGTGTTAGCTACTTTTCTCATTGCTGTGACAAAATGCCTGGCTCCCTGACAAAAGCAATTGAAGAAGGGAAGACTGTCTTTTGTCTCACAATTGAAGAAGTGATGCAGTCCATCATGGCAGAGTAGGCATGATGGCAGAGTGTGAGGTGGCTGCAGTCAGGAAGCAGAGGGATGAATGCTACCCTTCAGCTTGCTCATTTACTCTAAGACCCTAGCCCACTAGAGGCTCTGCGCACATTTGGGACAGATTTTTCCCTCCTTTGTTAAATGCCTCTGAAAATGCCCTCTCACAGATGTGCTCAGAAGTGTGTCTTCTCAGAGATTCAAATCCAGTTAAGTTGAAAATGTAGATTAACCCTCAAAGGCTCTTCCCCCAACAACCACATTCTTCAAAGTTGCACCTTTACTATACTGTGTTACAACCTCCTTTAAAGTTTTCTGCCTGAAATGTAATGTATTCACTGTTAATGTTCAGCACCTGACATCATGATGGACCCCCAATTGATGGAACTGCTCAATTAGGTGCTAGTTAAATAAACAACTGACACTGCCCCCCGACCCCTGGCATGGTCATTACAGATTTCTGATTCTAGGTACAATAAACAAATGGTCTGTGCTGCCATGAAATGAATGCTGCCTGGTGATTGCTGGTCGAGGGATCACGGGTTGCTCAAGGCAGAGTTGTGGTATCTATAGAGGGAGGTGAGTCTTGTGTTTTCCTTTATCTGGGACCTGATACTTTTGAAGGTGTGATTTAAAAAAAAAAAAACCTCATCCTTAATATATGCTTAGGAGGAACTATCTAGGCATGGGTTTTTCTCAGGCTAAGAAATGAGTCTATTTCACAAAAGAACTAAAAACAGAGTTCTGATTCATAAATTTGCTAATGGCTTCTGCTTCCCAGGGGAACCGCCCATGTACAATGAAGCCTTTCTAGGGGCACAGCCTCAGGTCTGATGGGAAGGTAACTGCAAACATGAGTTCTGCCTGTAAGGAGCCAGCTCAACAGGAATACTCAAAGGGAGTGGCTGTCACCATGTTAGGCGGTGCCTGTCACTATGTTAGGTCCTGGTGCATCTTGCTAGAAGAATGCGGCTTTCCATACTTCTGTTTCAAAGTTACTGAGCTAGTCGACAACCACATGAATAAAAATGGCTATGATGAAAATGAACATGCAAATGAATAATTCATGAAAAATTTGAAAACAAAACTCAAGGAATCACAGGCAAGTCAATCTACAACCCAGGAAATAATTGCAGATCACAGGACAAGCATGAAAGTCTATCTTTGGTATTGTATTTGCTGTTTTCCTTTTACTTCTTCTTCTTCTTTTTCTTTTCTTTTTTTTTTGACTCCAGTAACTTTTGTGAGAAGTCTAAATTGCTTAATTACATAGCCTGTGAATGGGAAAACTATTGACTGGGTAAATGCAATACCTCTGCTTCTCGACCTTCACTGAACTGTGTAAGGGGAGAGGAGGGGATGGGCACAAGCACCAAGTAAAGGAAGCAGAGGCCTGGTCAATCTGGGGAAGGACAGAGCAGAGCATGAGGTTGCAGTGAGTGTGGAAGTCAGCACCTCTTTCCCACTCACAGGAGCCCTGGTTCCTTCCACCCCCTCATCTCTCTGGGAGCCCAGACTGTGAGAACTTCTGTGGTTTTAAAACAGTCTGTGCATCACTAAGAACCCTCACATGCATCTCCCGGCTTGGGTACCTTTATGTGTCATTTCCATCCTTATCTTAGCAGAGTTCTTGCTGATGCAGCAGCGATGCACAGAAAAACCCAGCCACTGTCAGAATCCACTGTGGCCACACAAATGCCAATGCCATGGTACCTGGATGTGACAGTCTAAAAAACATCAAATGCACCCTCCAGTGGCAGACCTTTACCCACGTGGCCTAGTGAGGAAACTCTCTAAGGCCCCTGGCAGAGTGGATGGGAAACCCTTCTTCCTTGCAAACTGAAAGAGTCAGGCTGAGTCCTTAATAATCCACTTTGCCCTGTTAAATCCTAGGAGATGAGTCTTCATTTCAACATGACCTAACTGGCATATATTAGACACTCAGTGAACACAGCTGTTATTCTTTTTATCAACATTCTGACTGATCCCCTTTCCACTCATCCTTTCCTCCCTTTTCTTGGCAGAAATAAGTAGAAATTCTAGATGCACCCCCCCTTTTTTTTCCAGGGAGACTTGGAACAAAGACTCGGGGGTGCATTTCCCTGGTGATGGCCCTTCCTCCACGCTACCATCTTCTGGTTCTTTCTTCGTGGAGCTCCTGGCTGACGTTCCCAGGATTCACTGAGAGGAGAGCTTCCCATCTGATGGGCATCTGTAGCTTCTCCATCTCTGTGGTACTATCGCTGCACCCTGCAGGAGAGCTGCAGCCCCGCCCTTCCAGATTGCAAAAGTGGATGCCCTGGGAGAATTAACATTAGGATACAACCTAATTTGGAACCTCTCAAGGCATTTCAAAAATATTTCTTTTTTCCCTCTCCCAGTAGATGAAGCCGGCAAATATGTCTTAGTAGATACAGAAAACATAGGTTCTTCTCCCCCCGCCCCCCCCGCCCCATTCAATATCTATTGAAGGGAGTCATGGTGGTCTGAATGGAGAGGGGTTGTTGGGGGGTCGGGTGTGATTTCTTGGTGATGAAATACACTGCGCAGGTCAGCCCCGATGGTGAACAGAAATGAGAAAGCTGACTGTGGGGGATGGAGGGAGTGTGTTATTAGGATACTGGCGCTTGATTGGGGTGGGGGTGGGGGCTTGCTTGTGAATGTGAGAAAGCAGGAGGCGTGCCAGGAGAGCGCGGGAAACATTGTTGGGGAGGCAAGTGTGCACATCTCTTTCCCCAGCGCCCAGGCTCTCTGCGGCCCCTGGCTGGGTAAGGGGTGTGATGTGGGAGTGGGGTGGGAGGGGGTAGCAGGCGGGGCCTGCCACGTCACTTGGAGAGTGTGTTGGGGAGGAAGGGCAGCGCGCAGAGCCGAGCTTGCTGCGGCTGCTGTTGCTGCTGCTGCTGTTGCTGTGGCTGCACCCAAGGCTTGAAGCTGTGGGGAGGTGGGTCCGGCGCTCAGGCATCCGGGCAGCCCCAGGGCGGTCTCCAGGGCCTGTCGAACACCTCAGAGGAGAAGGAGTCGGCTAGAACCCGACCTTGGCCAGACGGAGCTCGGTGCGGACGTAGGGCGGAGGCGGAGGCCGTGCTGGGGCAGGAGTCCTTGGCGAGCCGAAAGGAGGCGCATCTGGCGCTTGGGTGCCAGCGGCAGCCAGGGGTCTAGAGCAGCTGGACCAGCGCACAGGGAGCCGGGAAGAGCCAGCAGGTCGGGTGGTCGGTCCCCTGTGCCCGGGAGCCGGGTCTAGGCACCACTGAAAGCTAAACCACGCGCTTTTTCGGGCAGCCGGTTTCTCACGTGCGACAGTTTGCGGGTTTCAGGCATCCCGGTAATCTCCAGCACCCCGGCGCGGCTTACTGGAAGCCAGAGCCACATCTTCTGCTCCCAGATCTCCTCTCAGACCTAGGCTGGCGGAGGGACCAGCTGCAGGGCTCCCGGACCCAACCCGCAGGTCAGTGCGCTAGCCCCACCCTGAAGGAGGGCGCAGCCGGAGCTGGGAAGTGGGTGCCGCACTCCGGAGCTCGTGGCGTGGGCGCCGTCCTAGTGGCGGGGAGCGCACTGCCGAGGGGACATGAGATCGGAGAAATCCCTTACGCTGGCGGCGCCGGGGGAGGTCCGTGGGCCGGAGGGGGAGCAACAGGATGCGGGAGAGTTCCCGGAGGCCGGCGGCGGCGGCGGCTGCTGTAGTAGTGAGCGGCTGGTGATCAACATCTCCGGGTTGCGCTTCGAGACGCAGCTGCGCACCCTATCACTGTTCCCTGACACATTGCTAGGAGACCCCGGCCGCCGAGTCCGCTTCTTTGATCCCCTGAGGAATGAGTACTTCTTCGATCGCAATCGGCCCAGCTTCGATGCCATCCTCTACTACTACCAGTCCGGGGGCCGCCTGCGTAGGCCGGTCAACGTGCCCCTGGACATCTTTCTGGAAGAGATCCGCTTCTATCAGCTGGGGGATGAAGCCCTGGCGGCCTTCCGGGAGGACGAGGGCTGCCTGCCAGAAGGTGGTGAGGACGAGAAACCACTCCCCTCCCAACCCTTCCAGCGCCAGGTCTGGCTTCTCTTTGAGTACCCGGAGAGCTCCGGGCCTGCCCGGGGCATCGCCATCGTCTCCGTGTTGGTTATTCTCATCTCCATCGTTATCTTTTGCCTGGAGACCCTGCCCCAGTTCCGTGCAGATGGGCGCGGGGGAGGCAGTGAAGGTGGTGTGAGCCGCCCTTCCCCAGTCTCCAGAGGGAGCCATGAGGAAGATGAGGAGGAAGAGGACCCCTTTCATGCCGGCATCCCCCCTGGGGGGATGGGGACAGGGGGTGTGTCCTCACTCAGTACTCTTGGGGGCTCCTTCTTCACAGACCCCTTCTTCCTGGTGGAAACTCTGTGTATCGTCTGGTTCACTTTTGAGCTCCTGGTACGCTTCTCTGCCTGCCCCAGCAAGCCTGCCTTCTTCCGCAATATCATGAACATCATTGATTTGGTGGCCATCTTCCCTTACTTCATCACCCTGGGCACTGAGCTTGTGCAGCGACACGAGCAACAACCAGCGAGTGGTGGGGGTGGCCAGAACGGGCAGCAGGCCATGTCCCTGGCCATCCTCAGGGTGATTCGCCTGGTCCGGGTGTTCCGCATCTTCAAGCTCTCCCGCCACTCCAAGGGGCTGCAGATCCTGGGCAAGACCTTGCAGGCCTCCATGAGGGAGCTGGGCTTGCTCATCTTCTTCCTCTTCATCGGAGTCATCCTCTTCTCCAGTGCAGTCTACTTCGCAGAGGCCGATGATGACGACTCGCTCTTCCCCAGCATCCCAGATGCCTTCTGGTGGGCAGTGGTGACAATGACCACTGTAGGTTATGGGGACATGTACCCCATGACTGTGGGGGGCAAGATCGTGGGCTCTCTGTGTGCCATCGCTGGGGTCCTCACCATTGCCCTGCCTGTGCCAGTCATCGTCTCCAACTTTAACTACTTCTACCACCGAGAGACAGAGCAGGAGGAGCAAGGCCAATATACCCATGTCACTTGTGGGCAGCCTACACCGGACCTGAAGGCAACAGATAACGGACTTAGCAAGCCAGACTTCCCCGACGCCACCCGAGAACGGAGGCCTAGCTACCTCCCCACTCCACATCGGGCATATGCAGAGAAAAGGATGCTCACAGAGGTTTGACAGATGTGGGCAGGGCCTGCAGGAAAAGGGGAGCTCTGAGCAAGCCATCTCTCAGGCTTCCTTCTCATGCTTACTACCTTCACTAGCTCCAGTTGACCTCTGACTCCCTCTCCATGCACCTAGGACATGGCATCCTGGACCAAATACCTGGACTGTAGACTGCTGTTGCTTGATCCTTACAGCATTCAAGATTTCTCCATCTAAGGAACATTATGGAAATTTCAATGGTGCCACCCAATCATGCCCATCTGTCAAGTGGATGAGATATACATTTCTTTCAGTCCTTCCCTCCAGACTCTGATTTTTCATGCCTGGGACTTGTAATATCTCTAGGAATGGTGATTTCGGTAGGATAGAAACCAGCCATACTTGGGTCCCTTCTTTAGCTCCGCATTGGGGCATGCACCTTTCTTAGCTTCTGGTGACTTGGTCACTGACAGAAGCTGGAGCCTGGAACTAGAATTCAACTTGCCATTTTAGTCCAGTGCCCTGTCAAATCTGGCCATCCTGCAGAGGACCCTGGACAGAGCTCTTAATTGCACAGCCTCAGAAGAATTTGTGTCTTATTTTGGATGGAATTAGGGAAAATAGAGTTGGAGAAAATACAATCCAACTGGACCACTGGAGGACATGAGGGTCGGTTCTAGCCCAAAGGGACCAGTGGATTCTCCTAGGTATGAGCTGGCACAGGAGACACTGGCTTTGGTCCACATTAGTCTTCCCTGCTCTGATTGTGACTCTCTTTGAGCTTCCAGGAAGGCTCCTTCTCAGAGCCAAATATTCTTTCTGTGCAAGTGCCTTCCTGTGCTGAGGAACTGGAAAATGGAACCACAGAGCCAGGAGAAAAGACTGAACAGAGCCAAGCAACTGACTGGACCATGCAATTGAAGCCAGGGAACACTTAGCAGAAACTGTCACCTCAGAGGGGAAGAGGGACTCTGCTGCAGAAAGCAACCTTATTTTCCCTCTTTAACACGAACCTCATCTTTCTTCCTGGGAATCTGACCTAGGATTGCAGTTGAAAATGTTCTAAAGCAACCCCAGCTTTAATCAGTCTGCAGACAGGCGAGTGCATACATTGGATGCCAGCATAGGTTTCTTCCCACGCCATGCCACAGGCAGTGGCATGCAGTTTTAGAGTCAGTAACAAGCAGGGTCCCTTTGCTGCAGGCCTTACTCTTAGAGGGTTTTGCTGAGTCAAGAAAACCTTTGCCTGCTCTGTCCCTCCCACAGAGCTGCATCAGGCCTGCTCTAACTGATAAGGTAACTCGGTAGTTCCACCTGGACCAAGCCATCTCCTTCCTTTGTGAAACCACTGCCACCTCTTCCAGCTGCCCACTGCCCCCTCCCAGCTGCCCACTGCCTCTCTCCCAGCTTCCCACTGCCCTCCTCTCAATTGCCCAGTACCCCCTCCCAGCTGCCCTCTTTCCCCTCCCAACTGCCCACTGCCCCTTCCCAGCTGCCCTCTTTCCCCTCCCAACTGCCCACTGCCCCCTCCCAGCTGCCCACTGCCTCTCTCTGAGCTGCACACTGCTCCCTCTCACCTGCCCACTCCCCCATCCCAGCTGCCCACTGCCCTCTCCCCTCCCAGTAACATTGCCGTCTGGTTTTTGCCATTGATAAACTGTGATATGCTGTTCTCAGCTCTTCTGGGTACAGTTCTGAAATGGAAAGGACTGTTAACACATTTTTAATTTTATATCTATGCTTTAAGACTCTTCTATGGGAATTTTTTTTAAGATGATTTTCTTGAAGAGCAACTTTTGAGGGCCTGACTCTGGGATGTGGTTTGAGAGGCAGTCTGGCTTTGATGAGTGCCAGGTCACAACTTGGATTTTGTCACAGCTTTACAGGGTAACTTTGATGTCACAGTCCCTGTTTGTGCCTCAGTTTCCCCACCCATTAAATGAGAATATTAATGTCTTCCCCTCCCTACCTCATGGGGAATATCAATAAACTCATCCAGGAAGGTGAGGGAGATGCTATGCAAATGTGTGAATTATAGTAATGGATTTGAATTTTAGCTCATTATCCTGCCTTCCTATCTCACAGAGGCAAGTCTTTCCCTCACAGGTTTCTGCCTTGGCTCCAAACCCTAAGAATGGAAGGTTGTGAAACATTAGCTTTCATTTCTTTTTGGCCTTTTGGCCTCCTGGGCTTCTGTTCTTTCTCTTAGCCTTCAGAATGGAGTATAATCTTGAGATAGGCTAGGTGGAATCGTTCTAGGGCCAGAGGTCACTTTCTGTGGAACTTGGCTTCTCCAAACTTGCAACACAGTAGGAGACAAGAGATGTTCATGACTCTGAAATCTCTTCCAAGGCCAGAAAGTGCTATTTTTTCCTAACTTCTTCAATTACTCCTGAGCCCACCCAGTGGCCAAAGGGATGCCCCAGCTGAGGGTAAATGTGGGGATATGAATTCATACACCTGAGTGTGTGTGTGTGTGAGAGAGAGAGAGAGAGAGAGAGAGAGAGAGACCACCCTCATCACCATCCCTGTCCCTAGAGAGAGAGAGAGAGAGAGAGAGAGAGAGACCACCCTCATCACCATCCCTGTCCCTACACAAACATTTCCTTTTCAAGTTAGAGCATGCCTGAAAGTAAGAGGTTTGTGGAGAGCCTAGCTCTCTGGGGACTCTGGTTGCTGTAGCAACCTTCCAGACTGTCCTCTCTATCTTCTGATTTGGATATCAAGGGAGAACAGACTACATATCCCAACTTCTCAAATGAGAGCATTTTCTATCCATTGGTTTAGGCACTGGTGGAGCAAAGACAAGGACTCAGGCCTTTGGAAAACATGGAGGAAGTAGATCCCCAACATTTCCTCCCTGGATCTTTCTTCCCGGTCCCTCACAGGGTCCCTGAAGCTGCCTCATGTTAATATTGAGATTTGGAAACTTGGATGCTAAGAAATTGCCCAATTAAGCAAACATCAATGTTAAGACTTTCCAAAGGAGACCTGGGGGAGGGGTATAATGTATCTCTCCCACAGCAGCCAGGCTGGGCTTCGTGGAGAATGGACACCAGTCTGAGCTCTCAGATTGAGGCTCTTCCCAGCTCTAAGAGAGACAGAGAAGAATGAGACTCATTTCTCCCAGGGAGCGCTCCTGCTCCTGGCAGGACTCTGAGGTGATTCTTGAGATGATCAGAGAAAAACCGAGAGGCTAAGTCCCAATCTAATTTCTGTGGAGAATTTGGTTTGGTGACCCCTCCCTATCTTTGAGCCTGCCCATGTGGATGTTGTGACTTGAGCATCAAGAGAATATGCACCGTGTGCTGCCTCAACAGCTGGAATGGGATTACAGCTGCCTGGGAAGGTGAGGTCCAAGCCATCCTGTCAAATGACTTGAGCCAGTGGGGCCTCCCAGAAGACTTCCTGGGACTGCCAGACTCTGCCTGGGGTGAGGACACGCCTCCTGCCTGGCATCCCCAAGGAGCAAGGGACAGCTGGCCTTCTTTTTACCTGAGGTAGGTCCCCCCTGTAGGGGGATTTCAGCCCTGATTTGACTCAGCCTTTCAGGGTGGTGGAGAGGGGAGGTGGGCTTGGGTGTGGGGACGCAGGGTTTCCCTGTCTGCCTTCTCTACTGTGTGATTCTCTCTTCCTCCACCAGCTTCTGTTCCTCCCTTTCTTTCCTCTTCTCCAGCCTCTCACCATCTTTCTGACCCTCTCCTCCTTACTTTTGTGTCTTTTTTCTTCTCTACTTTCCTTTTTTCTTTTTCTCCTTCTCCTGCTGTTTAAACTTCTTTAAACAGATACACACACAAACACACACACACAGACACACAGACACAGACACAGACACACACACATATGGCCCTCTCTTTATCCTTTTTGGTTCTTGGGAGCCCCTGTGGCATTACTGTCAGGGCCATACCCTGGGCTCTAGGACAGCTGTGACCCAGGGTTTTGCTAAGAAGGTTGATCCGTGGGCAAGGACCATTTCCATAGTCCCCTGACTTCTCAGTGTCCCATTCTTTTCTTCCACACTCCCCACCCTTACTAAACAAGATGAGATTCTGTGGGGTTGGAAAAATGTCTTATTGGACATGAATATGCCAAGATAAAAGAAGGAAGGGGGCAGGGAAGAAGGAATGTGGGGAGACAGAGGTAAAGAAAGACAGAGAATTTGTTAAGTTCAGGTGCTCTGCCATTTAGCACTGGATTGTGCCCATCTCAGGATCCCCCAACCTTAAGAGTCTTGCAGAGAAGTTTAAGTCAGAGGAACAGTAGAAATAGTAAAAGAGAGAAAACGGGGCTAGCCTGGAGAAAGCCTTAACCTGGGGCAGGGCTGGGTATGGATGCACATTTCCACGAAGGCTTGCTCAGCCCCTAGCTGGCTCCTTTGTGTGCTCAAGACAGAGCAAGAAGAAAAGTCACTGTCCCCAGTGGTATAAAGGGTAAAGGGAACTTCTTGATGTGGGAGATTGAGATTTGCCTGCCAGTTCATAAGGAGTGTGTGGATTGTCCCTGCTAGAAGTCGTGGAGAATAGGGTAAAGTCCCATCTATATCAAGACATCATGGGCCCAGAAGGGTTAACATAGGCTGTTAAACTGGCACCGGACAACTTCTGCTGGTGACATAACTGCTCTGAAACAGATAGTGTTGATAATCACATCACTAAAAAACTAACCCATAAAAGCATTGAATTGGGTTGGGGAGACATGAATCTAATAACCCAGGTCTTTTCACTTAGCTGGTACAAATGTTTGGTTTTTAAGTCAAGAAGCTCAGCATCTCTAAGGATGGATCATGATGAATATGTGGACTGGAATGACAGTTTGTTCCTTCTGCCGCCTGGGGACACTTTAGAGCTCTCCTGTGACTGTTCCTTGCCATGGTGTGTGTGTGTGTGTGTGTGTGTGTGTGTGTGTGTGATATGGTGTATGTTGTATTAGTTTTAACACACAAACTATCATGAGATTTACATGTTTTATATTCCTCTAAAGACATGTCAGGCCATTCTTTGAATAAGCAGGCACTGGACTAGTCACAGTCTGTTGGACGTCGTTCATTCTATAGTAGGGTTATTCAGGGAGTTCAATACTTTATTGCCCCAAACAATCCCCTCACACACACACACACACACACACACACACACACACACACATGCACGCACCCCAAAACCTCCCAAACCACCAAATCCTTGTACCTGTAAGCTACAAAAACCAAGTTTTGTTATTTCCACCCCTCCCCCACTCTTCTCTGAGGTCATTATTAACCCTCAACAACCCTGTGATAGAAGCTGGAATTCGTCTATGCTTTGGATAAACCAAGGTGGTTGGGGGTAACAGTCAAAGCTCTTACCTTTCAAGTTATTACCACACCTCAGTCCTGATCTCACCTGCAATTGCTGGGTGCCCACAAGGCCCTGTCCTTGTCTCCTGCTGAGGCTTCCCCCGCCCACCACTGCCCAGGTGGTACCTTCTAGTCCTGTTTATCTTTTGCTAAAAGATCCTTTCTTCTCCGACCCAGGCTTTGCTCAGGGCAGTATTCCTGTCACCTTGCATCTCTATGTAAATGCCAAGAGAGAGTCCCAAGGGATGTCAGACTCCCTGGACAGGCTGGCTGGAACTGCCATGCAGCTAAGATTGGTCTTGACTGTGTGTTATTGCCAGAGGAAGGAAAATGTGTTCTCCTGTTGACTGTCACTGTCACTTAGAGGACGAAGAGGAATTCATCCCTTCATAGGGTTTTCTGTCCATATCCCCTCAGACTCCTCTGTGCAGATGCCTCAGGGCCGAATGAGGCCTGTAGTGTAGGGCTTGGGGGAGGGGCATGACACAGCTTCCCAAATACAGGCCACTGGGATGACAGCTGGGCGCTTCATTCTCATATTGTAGGGTTTCCCCCATGAACCGCCTTGCTCGAGGGCCCTGTGGGATGGGACCTGGTCATGTTTGTTATGTCCCTTTGCTGTAAACCGGAGAAAATGGTTTTCCTGGCCTCTTTGTCCCTTCTATGTCCCCATACTTTTGCTCACCTTACAAGGGGGGTGGAACAACCAGTGACCACTCTTAAAGGGCTATCCCCACAGGACAATGACTCACAGAACTCAAGAAAGAAGTCTGCCGACAGAAAGTAAATGTTGACTCTGGTCTAACCCTTGACCTCTTTGGGGCCTAGCCCTGCTGGGTTTTAGGGCGATTCTTTAAACAAAACAAAACGAAACAAAACAAACAGCCAACTCTAACCTTACCGCCTCTACTTTAGAGAGAATTTCCCTTAATCAAGTTCATGGACCCAGAAGATTATCTGTCCCTAGAGAATATCCTGGAATCTTAAGCAGACTGCTGCAGGCTGCAAGGAACACATTCAGATCCTGGCCCTTTGGTGAGCGAAAAGCCGACATTTCAAAAGGAAATTGTAGCCACGCAGTCTGCTGGCACTGCTATTTTTGATATGCTTGCTGTTCTCTGGGGGCTCGACAACCACTGTCTCCTGGAGACAGACAAGGCTGCTCCTGGCAGCAGAGATGTGCTTTGAGACAGCACACGGCATGGTAGTCCTGCTGTGGGCTGGGAGGACAGGAGGCTGTGCCATCACCTCCTTCATCTCCAGGAAGCAAGCGCATGGCCATGCATCTGCAGAAGTCTGGCTAGGCCCTTGCCTAGGGAAACTGACCTTGCTCTGCAGCTTCCAGGGGGTCAAGGAGTCCCAATAGTCCCTGTCATTCACAAAGCCTCTGAAACCTATCAGAGCTCTGCGGCACTAAGTGGTGAAGGGGAAGGGTGCTAGATTCGTTTCTCCCACTGAATGAAGTATGCAAGTATGAAGTTGATCTGTGCCTCTGTTTCCCTCTCTGTCACATGGGGGATCAGAATAGCACAGATCCCCTGGAGTTGTTCTGAGGATTGAAGGAGTTAATATATGTACAATGTTTAAGAGAGTAATCACTGTTTAAAATTGACTATTTTGGCTGTTGCATTTCTATAGCAGTGAAAGTATGTAGGTAGGCAGGCAGGCGGGTTTTCTCTTTGGTAGTAGGAGAAACAGGTACAGAGGGGTTGTGACATGTTCAGGAGCACACAGCTATGTGTGGTCCATTGCTAATGTTACAGGACAGAATGTAGTGGGGGTGTGACTGGTAAGAGAAGGAAGAGTAAAGCTGTGGCTCCTGGCTGCGTACAGGTTTTTCTTACCTGCCACTTTGTCTCTGTTAGAAAAGCTGTTCGTGTTCTTCTGTGCGATTTTTCTCTGTGGGGTTTGGAAGTTCATGAAGATGTGTATCTGCATCTGTGTCTGTGTGTGCAACTATGTCTACAGCCATGTTGGCACCTGTGTCTGCTCCTGTGTCTACATCTGCACCTGCATCTGTGTCCACATCTGTGACTCTGTCTACGCATCAGTGTCTGTCTGCATCTGCATCTCTGTATGTATCTGTATGTATCTGCAGAGATGTATCTGCATCTGTCTGTGCCTGCACCTGCAACTGTCTGCACCTGCGTTTGCATCTGTCTGCTTGCCACTGTTTGCATTTGAATCTACACCTGCGTATGCGTCTGTGTCAGTGTTTATGTATTTGTGTCTGCTTCTGTATCTGAACCTGCAGCCAAACCTGCATCTGTATCTGCATCTGTGTCTGTAGCTGCTTCTGTGTCTAAACCTGCACTTGAATCTGTAACTGCATCTGTGTCTGCATCTGTACCTGCATCTACATCTACTTCTGCATCTCTCTCCACACAGCTCCCCCCATATTCACCTTGTACAGGGAACTCCTTTCTCTTGAGTCCCTTGTTACTGTGATTACTATTATCTTCCATCTGGTCCTCATCTTCACTACCCATTTGTTCCCTAGCCACCTTCATGCTGTATCGTGCATCCTCTGCTTTGCAGGTGGGAAGTCTTTAGCATCCGTCTTTAAGATATGCTGCATCTTCTCTGCCCTCTTTTAAGGTAGAGGAGGCAGGAGACCCTGGAGTAGGAATAAGCTGACTTCTGATTCATATGTCTCCACTGGAGAGCTATTCTGGCTTTCCTTGGGGGGCCTACACAGCCCTGAATGTACTGCACATTCCCAACTCACTTATGCCACCCCTACAACTTCTTACGAAGGACCCAGCCTGGCCAAGGCAGTATGACTGCCCTCTATTTCTGGACTCAGAGCTTCCTGATTTGTTTGCCTTTGAAAGTGAACTTGAGCCTGTACCTCATTTAACCTCACCAAGCTCCAGTTTGACATCTGCAAAACAAGGAAGGTTAGCCTCTCACAGCAGCATTGTAATGAAGCTGCCAGTTAAAGGGTGTATCCAGCTCTGACTAGCTGAGGGACCCCTCACTGACACTTGGGTGGGGGTGGGGTAGCTAATCCGTGTACATCCTCAAAGAAAGACAGTGTCCCTGCTGCTTGCAACTACTAAAATGTATTATGACATTAAAAAATAGCCAGGCGTGGTGGCGCACGCCTTTAATCCCAGCACTCGGGAGGCAGAGGCAGGCAGATCTCTGTGAGTTCAAGGCCAGCCTGGTCTATATAGTGAGTTCCAGGACAGCTGGGGCTACAGGGAGACCCTGTCTCGAAAAAGACAAAATAAAACAAAAAGACTCTGGATAGTTGTCGGTTGTACCAGAAGGCTGTTTGTGTAGAGGATTCACAGCAGAATTTCTTTAAATAACCGCACTAAGGATATGATTTTGTATGCAGAAATGTGTGGCTGCATCTTGGAAAGCCAGGGTGGATATAGTGGAAATCTATATATATAGTTTTTACAACCAAGTTTGTCTCTAAACCTAGTCTGAAGGCCCTCACGTCCCCCCCTTTCCTCTGGGCATCACAAAGAATAGCATTGAAAGTTATAGATGAGCAGAATATGGAACTACAGGGGGCAGTAGGTGCCTCCCTTAAGAAGGAGGAAGCCAAAACAAACTAACAAAACGAAAAAGGAGGAAACAGATAGAGAAGTGAAATTATTACATCTCAAGACAGCAAGGCACTCAGGCAGAACTGACTCTGGGACACTCATTTGCTGTCCAATCCCAGCATCTACCTATAGAAAATGGAAACCTGGGGCTGGAGAGATGGTTTGATGGTTAAGAGCACTGGCTGCTCTTACAGAGGACCTGGTTCAGTTTCTAGCACCCACATGATGGCTACAGTTCCAGAAGATCTGATGCCCTCTTCTGGCTTCTGTGGGCATTGCATTCACATGATGCACTTACATAGATGCAGGCAAAGACACTCAAACATAAATAAAAATAAATAAATAAAAATTAAGAAAATGGAAACCTAAGGATTATATGAACTTAAAAGATAAGTGAATAGCTTTGTTCATTTCCTAGTCAACCAAACTCTTTGTCAGAGCTTCTTGTAAGAATGGAACTAAGTGATTTTGAATTTTATCCCTCTCTCCTTTGACTTTCCAGGGTACAAGGGCAGCAGGCCTGGATGGGGAACCCCAGATCTGACAGTTTCTGCAATATTAAGGAAGCACTAAATAGTGTCACCCTGAGAAGGACCAAAGGTATCTCAGCACTGAGCACAGAGAAGCTTGAGAGCTCTGGCCTCTCAGCAGCCAAGCCCTGGGCTTCCCCACTGAGCCATCAAGAGTTTCCTTAACCTTTTGAGGTTTGGCACTTGTGCTGAACTTACTGGCCAGTATGAAGAAAACAGTGAGAGATTAGAAATCAGGAAAGCTAGAGCTTATTGGGGGCTTTCCTATTTGGTGGAGGAAAGAAAGAATGCAGAAAGTTAGAGACTTACCCAGGAGTGCAACCTTCTGAAGACTTTGGAGCCAGAAATCAGCTTTTGGTCTCTTCTCTGCACTTTCTTCCCCTTGGAGGAGGGGGAGGGAGGGAGGGAGAGAGAGACAAGTTGCTGTTGGGTTATAGATCTCTTTTATAAATCACAGGACTAGGGGTGAGGAGGAACAAAATTTCCAGAAGCCATGGTGACTGAGCCATATATCAGACAGCTCCCAGATGCTTTAAGGCAATTTGGCCTTGCTGGAAAGAGAAGAAAAGTTTAGAAGGAGGAAGGAACATAGCTTGTCCTCCCTACAGAAGGCTTCTGTCTGTGTTTTGTGGGAGGGAGCATGTTCATCCAGGAGCCTACCTTCCTGCGTCAGCAGGAGCCCAGCACACTTCTTTGGATGTGGGTATGCATTTAATTTATCCACTCACTTGTTCATTTACTTTTCCTGCTTGCGTCCTCCTGGTACACTGTTTTATGTGACTGCAGAAATTCCGCAGTCATTTCAGGTCCTTATAAGAGGTCCTAAATTGTCACTTTTGGCTTATGGGCCAGATGTGATACCACATCAAGAGTAGACATACAGGTCTGGATTTTCGGTTTCTTTTCAAAGCAGATGTTTGATTTTATCTGTCCTACCTGTCTACCTTCCAGCTATTGTGGGAGGAGGTGAGACCCTTAAGGACCTTAGTTTCCCACTAGGCCTCACCTCTTAAAAGTTTCCACCACCTCCCAATAGCACCAAAGTGGGACAGAGGCTTTAACATATGGGTCTTTGGAGAGCATTTATGATGCAAACTATACGGACCAAGTGTGTTGGCCCATGCCGTAATCCCAACACTTGGGAAGACCAGAAATCCAGAGTAATCCTCAGGTATATAGTGAGTTTAAGGCCAGCCTGCACTACGTTAGTTAGACCCTGTCTCAAAACAAAACAACTAAACAGACAAACAAACAGACAAAAATAAAAACAGGGCTGGAGAGATGGCTCAGTTGGCAGAATGCTTGTTCTTGCCTTACAAGCATGAGGACCTGATTGTGATCCCCAGCACTCAATTAAGAAAAAGCTATGGCAGTGTACTCCTGTAATCCCAGCGCTGGTAATGGGGGAGGGGACAAAGACAAGACGATCCCTGGGGCTTGCTGGCCAGTCATCCTGGAGGAATCAGTGAGCTCCAAGTTCAGTGAGAGACCCTGTCTCAAAAACTGAGGGGAAGGAAGGGTTGGAGAGATGGCTCAGTGGGTAAGAGCACTGGCTGCACTTGTAGACTTGGGTTCCAATCCCAGCATCCAAATGGCAGCTAACAACTGTCTGTAACCAGTTCAAGGGGTCCTCTATAGGTACCACACGACATGAGTGCACTTACATTCATGCAGATATAACACTCATACACATATAATAAAACTAAATAAATAAAATTGTTTAAAAATGAAGGTGAGGCTTGGCGAGATGGCTCAGCAGTTAAGAGCACTTGCTGCTCTTGCAGAGGACCCAAGTTTGGTTCCCAGCACTTACAAGATTGCTTGCAATGATCTGTAATGACTCTTCTGGCCTTTGCAGGTACTGCACACATGTGGTGCACATGCATTCAGGCAAAACACTCATACATATAAAAAATAGATTTTTTTAAATAAGGTGAAGCTTGATAGTATTGTTTTGTCAGTAAATAATATTCGAAAACCTAGTTTTTCAAACTAATCATGTGCTAATAAAGCTAATAAATCCTAATTAGCAGTGATAATAAAGTATTTTTTAATAATGGATGAAGAGTGACTGAGGAAGGCACTCAGTATTAACTTCTGGTGCATGTGCCAGTAACATAGTAGAAACCAAGGAAAAAAGACAAGAAAGAATCTAGGAATCATTATGACATCACACAGAGAAAAGGATGGGTACAGAGCCATCAGCTGAGCACTACAAGCTGAGTGCCAACCCTCATCCAGGAAAGCCACACAACATCACTGAGTCCCTGTTCTTACTCCATGAAAGTCCTGGCTATCAAGAATGAAGTAGCAGGCTAGAGAGATAGTTTAGTCATTAAAGGCTAGGGCTAATAACGAATATTACAAGAGTTTGGTTCCCAGGATCCACAATTGAGGGTCATTTCTTCAGTTCCCTTTTGCTGGGCATGGTGATGAACACCTTAATCCTAATACTTACGAGGCAGAGGCAGACAGATCTCTGTGAGAACAAGACCAGCCTGGTGTACATAGTCAATTATGGGCCAGCTAGGGCTACGGGGAGACCATGTCTCAGGAGAAAAAAAAAAGCAAAAGAATAGAGTGGGGTCCTGTTGCCTGACCTCGTGTAAGTGGGAGGTAAACCTCAAAGCTGAAATGGCCAAACACTGTTTTATTTTTTTGTTTGTGATCTGGTTTGCAATTTGTGTCTTTGTTGCTGTTGTTTGTTGTTGTTTAGGAGTGTGTGTGTGATAGGTGTGTGATAGGTGTGTGTGTGTGTGTGTGTGTGTGTTTCATGAAATTTGTTGACAACAGAGTTGAGACTGCTCCCAGAACAGTTGCCTTAGGAGGGAGACATGAAAGGCTCCCCTCATTGCCTACATTTGCCAATTGTTTTATGAAAACAGTTTAGGGCTGGAATTCAAAAGGACAGTTGCTGTTGTAGTTAGGGCCAGAGTGAGCTCAAATTCCTTAGGTTTATGAGTTTAAGAGACTTCACAGGAGTCACCTCTCTTTGAGGACAATATTCACTTCTGAAAGTCAGAATCTAAAGGATTTTATACTTTCTGTCTTCTAAATATTTGCCACCTCTAGTAGAGCAGAAGAGATTAGATCAGCCTGGTATAACAGAATCAACTGTGAGCCTTCATTCTATGGCTGTCAGCCTTACTTTCCCCAGTAGGTATATGTCTGAAGAGTTGGAATTGAGCATAGAATAGAATCACTTTCCTATTAGAAGTGGCTTTTAATAAAACTGTGCCCACAGGCATTAAAAAAAATGACCCATTGTAGACAAACTTAAACAATAACATTGGGGCCTGGAGAAATGGCTCAGTGCTTAAGAGCACTGATTGCTCTTGCAGAGGACCTGGGTTTAGTTCCCAGCACCCACATGGCCGCTAACAACCGTCCATAACTCCAGTTCCAGGGGATCTGATGCCCTCTTCTGCCCCCAGCAGGCATTGCATGACATGGGTGTATGTACTTACATACATGCAGGCAATACACTCATATAAAAATAACATGCAGTCAATAGAAAAAGGAACTAGAATCTAGACTATTGTCTTCATACAATCTGAAGTCCTTCTTGAGAGCTGAAGGAGTGCTATTGCTAGAATGGCTGAACAGATCTGAGATTTTTTTTTCTCCCAGTGGAGAAGTATATATTTCACAGTGGGGACTAAGAGAAAAGATTCCAATCTCCTCTGTCCAGAACTATATTTAGACTATATTTGCAGGTGTGGAGCATGGCACTTCTTACCCCTGGGGCCATGCTGGGAGGAGGACAGATGTGAGGACATGGTCCTGGATACTAATACCTTGCTCTCTCTTCTGACAGTACAGGAAGGGGACAAGACTTGCTTACCAGGGAGGGAGTCAACACTCAGCTCTGCCACCCATTGCTTCTGAGTTGTGTGACCATGGGAGAATTAGGGACCTCTCTGAGCCTTGATTTCCTTTTCTGTGAAACTGAGCAACCAGGATTGACCCTTTATGGAATTACAAGAGATAGTGCCAACCCTGTTTATGTCTGTCATGTAGGAAGCATTCAGTAATATCTAGTTGTTTTCTCTGTGTATGTGGGGGGGTGTGCATATATGCACATGTGTGTGGATACATGCACTTGTGTGTGCAATGCAGAGACCAGAGGAGGACACTAGGTGTCCTGGCCTACCACTCTTTGCCTTATTCCATTGAGACTGGGTATCTCACTGAATCTGGAGCTAGGCTGGCAGCAAAGCCCCAGAGATCTTCCTGTCTCTGCTTCTCACAACCCTGGAGTAACAGGCTGTGTGTGGCCATGCCCTGCTTTAAAAATACTGGGACTTGAACTTGGGTCCTCACGTAGCAAGTGCTATAATAACCCACTGATCCATCTCGCCAGCTCCTAGCTGTTATTTCCACAACTTCTTTCTGTTTTCTGTACTTCAGTGGGGTGCTGAGATGTAACAAGGCCCATGAATCTTGTCTGACCATGAGAAATACTTCAAGAGCTCTTAAAATCAAAGTCTTTGGGGAAATATATATGATATCATATTATGATATATATCATAATTTAAAAATTTTTAAATTGATTTATTTTATATGTATGAGTGTTTTACCTGCATGTATGCAAGTGTGCCACATGTATGCAATACCTGAGGAGGCCAGAGGGTGTCAGATCCCTGGAACTGGGGTTACAGATGGTTGTTTGCTGCCATGTGGGTGCTGGGAACTGAACCCAGGTCCTCTGCAAGATGAGCCAGTGCTCTTAACCACCGAGCCATCTCTCTAGCCCCTATGTCATGATTTCTCTTGCTTTGTAGATCTTCACTTTCTGATATAACATAATGGTGACCATGATCTGGCTCTTCAGTCATCAAGTATTTGATCACGACAAAGATGTCTCATGAATGGGACTTTCACAGCCTTTTAGAGAAAGATGCTTCCATGCTGAAAATGCCAAGGATTTGAATAAATTCCCAAAGTGAAGAATATAAGTGACAGGTTCCAGGACCAGAAAGAACCTCCGGCAGAATTGGGAGCTAGCTGAGAGGTGGTGTGATGGAGTGTGGACAGCTCGCATGGGTCATCACATCCCTTGGCTGACTCCAGGCTGGCCTTGAAAGGCAGAAGAAACTACACAGGGAAGTGTGAGGGGAACAGGTATAATGCTTTCTCCAGCACTGAACAGGCTCATAAATGTGCCTTTGATGATGTGTGTGAGGTCAATGTTCCTCTTTGGGACTGTAAGTCAGTGGAAACTATGACTTGATTCACAGATAAAGCATTTACTCAATACACAGCCTTTTGGGAGTGTATTTAATTTGAAAGTAAGTCAGCCGAATTCACTTAATGACACATAGAGACTAAGGGAAAATGACATGGAATAAGCAGGCAGGAAGAGACACTAGCCAGGCACAGTAGCACAGGCCTCTGGTCATAGCTACTTAGGAGGCCGAGATAGGACTGAAAAATTCAAGGCCAGCCTGGGCTACAGAGTGAATTAAAGCTGGCCAAGGCTATTTAGTGAGACCCTGTATCAAAAAGTATGAAGAGGGGATGCAGCTTGGTGGTAGAATGCTTGCTTAGCATGTAAGAGGCTCTAGGTTCAATACACAGGAGAGAGGAGGAGGGGTTTAGGGGAGGGGGAGACAGACAAAGAGAAAGGTAGAAGGAGGAAGAAGAGGAAGAAGAAGAGGGGGAGGAGGAAGAGGAGGAAGAGGAGGAGGAGGAGAGGGGAGGGGGAGGGGACAGTAGAGAAGAGAGGAAATGAATCTAAAAGTCTTGGATCCATTGCTCTGCCCCGCCCTAGAAGTCAGTGTCAGACCTGTTCTGAAATCCCTCAGGAAACAGCACTCGGCATCCACTCCTTCAGGCAGTTTTTGTGCTTCAGCTTTAAGATTTTTGCTGTTGGATGCTCCCCTCCTGTCTCAGTCACATGTCTTCCCTTCTGCTTGATCCTCTCCTGAGATGGGCATGTCACTGACCATACAGCCTAGGAAAAGTCCCATCAGAGTTTCCCACAGGAGCTCTGCAGAACAGGCATCTGACATGACATCCATAGAAAAAGCATCTCCAGGCACCGGTTTGGGGAATGCTGCCTTTTCGAGATACACATGCATATGAGCATAAATGAAAGGCCCTGAGAAGCCTTTTAGCAAATAAATCTACCTACCTCATTTCTTTGACACAGCGTCTTAGAAATTATTTTGTACCGTACAACCTCCAACCTCTTTTTTAAAAGGTGATTTCTCTTTGCATCCCACAGAAAAGTGCAATCCAAGCAATATATCTTGAGAAACTCACAACCAGTGGAAGCATCTTCCCATTTGAATCCATGGAAACAACAGCCATTAAACTTTTCACATGGGCCATTCTGTGGCTGCCTATCAACCCATCTCAAAGGTCTCCACAACCCCCCTAGTGTGATTCCCTTCCCTGCTCAGAGGCAAAGGGAGAAAGAAAGTAGTAGTGCTTGCCTGTTGATGCTGTGCTACTTGCTCCTTTCTGGACATCCTGAACCCTGAGAAAGAGTTTCTGCCATATAGTTTCTTTAATCATTCAATATAAGGATAATCAATATAAGGATAATCAGCTCTGAATTTCAGAGCTATGTACCTTACTTCAGCTTCTTATTTTGTAGACAAAGAGTAGAACATATCACTGAAAAATACACCGAGAAGGTTATAGAACTGTTTTTAAGACATGTAACAGGGCTGGGTGTGGTGGCTCATGCCTCTAATCCCAGCACTCGGGAGGCAGAGGTAGGTGGATCTCTGTGAGTTCAAGGCCAGCCTGGTCTACATACTGAGTTCTAGGCCAGCTGGGGCTACAGGGAGACCCTGTCTCAAAAAAATCATGTAGTAAACTGTTTTCACTTACTCTCTTCCCTTCCCCCTGACTTCCTTCCTTCTTCCCTGCCTCCTTCCCCCATCCCTCCCTCCCTTCTTTTCCCTCTCCTCTCTCTCTTCCTCCCTCCCTCCCTCCCTTCTTTCCTTCCTCCTTTCTTCTCCCCTCTTTATATCCTCTCTGTTTTTGTTAGATGAGATCTATCTTAGTGTTTCTAGATCCTTTTTCTTTATTTTGACATTTCAAAATAAACACTCCTTGCTTCTGGCTGTGTTGTGCACCTTGGCATTGTGATTGGAAAAATGTTGGGCATGGAAAGGCGCTTCTATATTAAGGAGAAGCAGGGAATACAGATCAGCCAGATGCTAAGCAGCATCTTGGGCTCCTGGGAGGGAGCCTGTAGCAGGGATGGGGGGAGGGGGAGACACTCTTCATTTCTGGGAAGGTGCCCCCACGGGCTGGGCAGGCACTGTGTTGTGTGCCAGGCTAACTCCTCTGTGCTACACAAAGTTTCTTTCTCTATGGTAGAAAGAAACTTTGCCCAGGAAGCTTCATGTGGGCCCAGCACTGTCCCATTCGGCTCTGTCCTGACACTGGTATTCATTCATCATCCTTGGCTCTTGCTGCTGATCCAAGCCCTAATGGAAGGGCAGGAACCAACAGGACGGAGGCCTAGGTGGGTGTCCTAGTTTAATTTCTGTTGCTCTGATATAAAATATTCTGACCCCCCCCCCAATAAATAAAATAAACCTTAGGGGAGAAAGAGTTATTTTAGCTTAAGACTCCAGGATGTAGTCTATTATTGGAGGGAAGTCAAAACATCAGGGGCTCAAGACAGCTGGTTACATCACAGACACAGTTAGGGCAGAGACAAATGCCTGTATGCATGCTGAGTAATCTCTTCTCCCCGCTCCCCTTCTCTTAGACTGTTCCTGACCCATAATGGTGTCACCCATAATGGACTAGG